AAGACAAATAAAAGCAAAAGCATCTACTGCTTTAAAGATCTCATGATTGAGGTAAAGAATCCTCCATAAGGAGCCCTACAGAGCTGTGCCGCCCAACAGAAACATGCTGCAAGCCACATATGTAATTTAAAAATTTTAGTAGCCATGTTAAAAAGAAATAGGAAAACTTAATTTTAATTATATATTCCATGTAACCCAATATATCCAAAATATTTTAACATCAATGAAAAGTGTACTAATGTCATAGTTTGCTCGTTTTGTACTGTCTGAATCCGGTGTGTATTTTACAGTTAAAGCACACCTCAATTTGGAGTAGGAACAGTTAAAGTATTCAATAGCCACATGTGACCAGTGGCTGCCATATGGTACACCTAGTTATATACTTTCTGCAGCCCAGAATTTTACAGGTATCCTAAGGTAAATATGAACTGAAGCAAAAGCCACGAGCAAAAAGCTGCATGAGAGCTCTAGACCCTAAATGCTTCACGTCTAATCAGGGGTATGAACCAACTAGGAGCAGGACTCAAAATTTAAAGAGTGTATCACAGTCACTGTAGAGCAACAGAGTTGGTAGGATTAGTACCATGTCAACCCTGAGACTTAATGACTCCAAATCTGGGTGTGGGCCAGGTGGTTCTGATGTTGAGTCCACACCTGGAAAGCCATCTTCTTGAATACTATCAGTACCTACTGCTGATGCTGATAAATGTTGTAAACCAAACCTGTCCCATCATGTGAATTCCCCTGGGCAGTGTTAACAAATTCCAAACCCTGCCCCGGGGGTGGGGGTGGGGGTGGGGTCTGTTACTTTTAAACATTTCTTCAGATGAGTCTTCCATGATCCTGTAAGTTTAGGATACTAGGTCACTGGTTCCCAAACCTTGCTTAACATCAGAATCTTTTGTAGAGTTGGTTATACTCAATAGCAATTGAATCAGAAGGTCTGGAGATGGGAACCAGCAATCAGAAGTTTTTAAAGATTCCCAAATGGTTCCACTGTGCAGTTTCTGGACCACTGGGCTAGGCCTTTTAGGAAAAGGAAACAAGCCTCCGAAACATCTGTCTGCTCAACAACTGTAGACACCATAACATCCCAGGTGGTGTTTAAAGTGGTTCCAGTTGGCAAGGTAATTCCCACCTCCTCTCTCAGCTTGTACTCAAATGTAACTGGTGCTTTCCAGTACAATGATGCACTTAGTGAGGCCCGAGGGTGGCAGGGCATGTACAGCATACGGCCGCAGCATGGGTAATACCTCGACTAAGACAGGCACCATAAAAACGTCCAACAATCCCACAAAACAAAGGAAGTGAGCTTTAAATACTTTTGGAAGAGTGACGTCTCTACTATCTCGGGTTACCACATAGTGCTCAAAGAAAAGGACCAGAAGCCACAGACCCAGAAGGAACCAAGTGCAAATCCCAAGCCTTTGGTTTTGTCAGCAGATCAACAAAATGCGAAGTGAGGGGCGAAGATTGAGACATTCAGGGAAAAGCCCCCTCAGCCAAGGGCCGTCACGGAGCAACTCCCGAGGTTACACAGGAAAAGCAGGGCTAAAGGTCCAGCCAAGCTTTGCCTTTAAAACAGCATCGAAGCAGCCCCCTGCGCACAGGGCCCCGCACGCAGAAGCGGGTCCACCAGCGGTGGGAGCCTGGGGAGGATGTGGCTCCGGCCTCGGGTCGCCACCAGGCGGGCGCCCTCCACCTGGGCGCCTGCGGGGCTCACCCAGTGACCAAGCCAGGACGAGCAGGTGCACGCACCGCGGGACCCGAGGGCTGCCTGGGCCACCGGCCGCGCCCGCACCGCTGCCCCTCTGAGGGCCCCCGGCGCCGGCCGCGCTCACCCGATGACGTAGGCCAGGATGAGCAGCTGCACCGCGCGGTTCATGAGCCCCACTTTACGGCTGCGGATGAGCACGATGCGCGGCGTGTCGTACTCGAACAGGAAGGGCCGCAGCACCTCGCAGCAGCCCGCCATGGCGCCGCCGGCCTCTGCGCTGTGGGTCCCGCTGCCCGAGCCGCCGCCTAGTCCCAGCGCGGAGCCCCGCCCAGGCGGCCGGTCGGCGCAGGGGAGGGCCCGGAAGGGGGCGGCACGCTCCCTGGAACGCAGGGAAGGAGTGACCTCCTCCTTGAGAATGAATGATCCCCTCAATGATCCCCTCAGGAGGGCCGGGACGAACAAGAGGCCTTCTGAGGAAGATGGGGCCGGCGAGGAGAGGTGACCTCCTCGAGAGGGGGCTGAGTTCAGGTTGGGGGTAACGAGTGACCTCCCCCCTTAGGGGACCTAAGAGGACAAGGGACCTCCTCAGAGGACTTGGGCTGTGGAGTACAGCCACCCCTCAGGAGTGCAGGCTCTAATGGAGGGAGCTGGGGCGGCGCTGCTTTCTCAATTTCGGGTGAAAAGCCTCATATATCAGGTGTCCTAGGAACACCTGGGCTATAGCCGCACACCCTGTAAAATGTACCTCCTGGAATTGAAGCCTGGCCACATTCCTACTCTAATTCAAATGCTTCCTTAGTTGCAGCCCAGGAAAGGAACACCCACAGTTCCACCTCTTGGAACACAATTTTCTTCTACATGTATA